AAGGTTCCCTACAAGGGAGCCTAGACCCGGCTGCAGGATGCAGAAGAGTTACCGAGGACAATCACGTGGCTACAGCCCACTCCGCACCGGGGGCGCCAGGCCCTGGGAACTCACCTCCCGGCCGTTGTCCAGCAGCATGATGTCGTCGTCCGCCAGGTCATCCTGGCAGAAATCGGAGCACTTCTCCGACACGGAGAAATAGCCCTTCTCGTTGGAGCACCTGCAGCGGAGAGCCAAGCCGCCGTTAGCGAGGGGGCGTGCCCTGCCTCGGGCCAGCCTGGCTGTCCAGGGCAAATCCTGGGCGCCAGCGGCCATGAGTTTGTCAGATCTCAGCCGAGCCCTGGGGAACATTTTCCTGAGCTCTACCAGTCCAGTGGCCAGCATGTCACAGTGCCTAGGGTCTCCCCCCACCAGGGCCAGCCCAAATAGGCAGAGACTACCCTGGTGGCTTAAGGAGCAGGCTGAGCAGGGCTGAGGAGGAGACGTGCAAGCCCGTGTTTCAAACAAACAGGCACCCAGCGAACGGATGTCAGGAGCCCTGACCAGCCAAGGACCTGTCTACCCAGCGGATGCTCTGCCCATGGGCTCCGGGAACAGCAGCTGCTGGCACGCACCTGAACAGCCGTGAGTACTTCATGTAGTCGGCGTCTTCGTCGTAGGCCTTCTGGCCCCCGATGCCAACCCAGAAGAAGTTCTCCGGCTCCTCCCCTTCGTTTATCACCTGGCACACAGAGCGGAGGGGTCAGGGGGCTGGAGGGTTTCAGTCGAATCCCGAGTCACTTCCTGCTCTAGGGTTCTGGGAGCAGAGGCAGGGAGAGGACCGAGCTCTCCCTGGCTCCGCTCTCCATGGCTGCACCCCAGAGGGAGCAGTGGCTGGCCAATGCTGGCTAGACCAGCGTAGCTAGAACAGCCTTGCCCATCTGGCATAGAGCGCCACTGAGAACCAGCCACCGGACCACGACCACAGAGGCTCCGTCCTGCCTCACCTGCTTGCTGTACGAGTCGTCGAACATGTGGTTCATGATTTCCTCTGCTAGCTTGGCCTCCTCGGGGTCGGCGGCCCGGCCCACCCAGGTGTAGACGATGCCTTGGTTATCGGTGCTCTCGAACGGCACCTAGGGGAGTGGAGCGTGGGTCAGGGGGACAGGAGCAGAGCCCTTGGGCTGGATGGGAAGCCCGGGCATAAGGAGAGGAGACATGGGACCAGATGAAGTCCCCGTTGACAGAGGAATCACGCTGAGAGAAGGGCAGAAAGAGGCTACATGTGGAGGGATGTGGTGCTTTGGCTTAAACCAGGAGTTTAGAGCAGCTTGATGTTCCCACGGTCACCCCCCAACGTGGCTTCACGGACACGGACCAGGTTCTTCTGCCAGCCAGTCTATGCAGGGTCCTGATCCTGCCCCACACCCTCCTCCCCCAAGCTCAAGGCTTCCATTCCTCTTCTCCCTTAGATGCTCCTTGCCCATAATCTGTGGGGAGGACATGTCAGGCAACCAGCACCTTCAAGGGCAGCCATAGATGCATGGCGCCTCCTTGGACCAGCCACGAGAAGGATGCCCACGAGCGGCATGTGCTGGAGCAAGGTCAAGACGAGGAGGGTGGCAGCAGGAAGCTTCAAAGGACTCCACCTCGTCCTCTTTGCTCACCGGCGCTGGAAGTGGGGGGAGGCCGGGGCGGGGGGTCATGCCCGCCCCCACTTTTTAAACCAAAGAAACAAAGCACAGAATTCATGTCCCCCACAGATTTCACCCCCACCCCTCGCAGAACAATCCATTCTGCTGGGGAGGCACTGCAATTACACTTTTTGCCCACCAGGGGCCGCTGTGGTGCCCGAAGAAAGGGCAGCGGGCTCAGGACTGGAGCAGCCAGCTGCAGGGGAGGGGGGGGGAGGGAAGAGAGCACTTTGGCCTTGGCCACCCCACTTCTACAAAGGTTCTGGCGCCTTGTCCTCGCTCCGTGTGGACCCGGGGCCGCGGCGTGAGCTGTTGCTGCAGCGGGCCCAGCCGGAGACCGTGCTAGCCCTCGGAGCCCACAGCAGAGCGCCAGGGCCAGCACACTAGCCCCAGGCCTGCTCACCTTCAGGATGAAGCAGAACTCTGAGTTCAGCAGGCAGGAGTCGGTGTTGATCTGGATACACCTGCAAGGGACGAGAGGAGGAGGAGGAGTTCTCAGCCCCAGCCTGGATCCCCACCTACCCCAGCCCGGCCGGCCCATTCAACCCCTCCAGGGAGGAGGCTCCAGTTAGCAGAGCAGCTCCTCTGGCTCTCACCGGGTGCAGAGGGCGCTGCCGTTGGTGCGGACGTGGTACAGGCTGGGCTGCAGGCTGTTGTCCTTGGACTTCCTCTTGCCCTTGTGGATAATGAACTTCCTCTTGAAGTGAGACAGGAACTTGGGGTTCTCCTGCTGCTGGGTCATGCGCACAACCTGGGTGCCAGGGGATGGCGTTAGAGGTGTCCAGGGCCAGGGAGTTCACTCACACTCGGAGGGGACCCTGGGACGTGTGTCGACCCGTCAAGTGACAGAGAGCCATCGGCTAGCAAAGCATGCTGGGTACAGTAACGCCTCACTTAAAGTCGTCCTGGTTAATGTTGTTTTGTTGCTGATCAATTAGGGAACATGCTCGTTTCAAGTTGCGCAATGCTCCCTTATAACCTTGTTTGTCAGTCGCCTGCTTTGTCCACGGCTTGCAGGAAGAGCCAGGGCTGCCCAGAGGATTCAGGGGGCCTGGGGCAAAGCAATTTCGGGGACCCCTTCCATAAAAAAAAGTTGCAATACTATAGAATGCTATATTCTCGTGGGGGCCCCTGTGGGGCACGGGGCAAATTGCCCCCCCCTCTGGGCAGCCCTGGGAAGAGCAGCCTGTTGGAGTTGGCTGGGGGGGGGCATGGAACCAGCGTGGGCCGGCAGCCCCCCCCATCAGGTCCCCGCTCCCCTAAGTTCCCCGTGCGGCAGCTGCCCAGCAGACTACCAATTGCCGGCAGTTCAGCTG